AGCTTTCGATATGCAGCAACCCAATATCAAACCAAGTTTCCAAAAGAAACTCTCCCAGTTGCAATCGAAACGAATACAAATTTATATTCCACAGAACCAAATATGAAAGTTCAACTTTCAACGAAAGTTCAACAGCACAGGTTCAAATTTTACGCAAAGAATTCTGTCCAAGTTCAAATTCCTAACCCCTGCCATATGACTCGTGGCACTCGATTATGACTTGTGACGCACTCACAGTGCAAACGCGATAAATACTCGTATTATTAATATACTTTAATTGGAAGGTTTCAGTCCAATTATAATTTGTATAGTCACAGCTCACTGAATATAAAATCGACGTAATATTTGAACCTTTTTTATTTGCTTTTATATTATAGCGGTAGACAATTAGAGCTATCTGACGCACCTAACAAGGATCAACCCTAAAACTTCCAAAGCAGTCAAATGATCGTTCTACAAGTTTCAATTATACTTGAACTTCAAACTAAAAGTTGAATTACTACTGAAAATCCTACTAAAACCTTTTACATTGGAACTGTGTGTCAGTGTCATCAAAGGCAAGCGAACTCCGAATTAACGTGTCATAAAAGTTTTGCGGTACATTTATGACCTAACAGCTTTCGATATGCAGCAACCCAATATCAAACCAAGTTTCCAAAAGAAACTCTCCCAGTTGCAATCGAAACGAATACAAATTTATATTCCACAGAACCAAATATGAAAGTTCAACTTTCAACGAAAGTTCAACAGCACAGGTTCAAATTTTACGCAAAGAATTCTGTCCAAGTTCAAATTCCTAACCCCTGCCATATGACTCGTGGCACTCGATTATGACTTGTGACGCACTCACAGTGCAAACGCGATAAATACTCGTATTATTAATATACTTTAATTGGAAGGTTTCAGTCCAATTATAATTTGTATAGTCACAGCTCACTGAATATAAAATCGACGTAATATTTGAACCTTTTTTATTTGCTTTTATATTATAGCGGTAGACAATTAGAGCTATCTGACGCACCTAACAAGGATCAACCCTAAAACTTCCAAAGCAGTCAAATGATCGTTCTACAAGTTTCTTAAGTTAAAAAATTGTTATTCTTGAAATCTATTAAAATATTGATTTTGTTATTACAGAAATGTGTCAAAATAAAAAATTTAAATAAGTTTTTTAAGTTAAAAAATTGTTATTCTTGAAATCTATTAAAATATTGATTTTGTTATTACAGAAATGTGTCAAAATAAAAAATTTAAATAAGTTTTTTAAGTTAAAAAATTGTTATTCTTGAAATCTATTAAAATATTGATTTTGTTATTACAGAAATGTGTCAAAATAAAAAATTTAAATAAGTTTTTTAAGTTAAAAAATTGTTATTCTTGAAATCTATTAAAATATTGATTTTGTTATTACAGAAATGTGTCAAAATAAAAAATTTAAATAAGTTTTTTAAGTTAAAAAATTGTTATTCTTGAAATCTATTAAAATATTGATTTTGTTATTACAGAAATGTGTCAAAATAAAAAATTTAAATAAGTTTTTTAAGTTAAAAAATTGTTATTCTTGAAATCTATTAAAATATTGATTTTGTTATTACAGAAATGTGTCAAAATAAAAAATTTAAATAAGTTTCTTAAGTTAAAAAATTGTTATTCTTGAAATCTATTAAAACGTTGATTTTGTTATTACAGAAATCTGTCAAAATAAAAAATTTAAACAATTTATGTTTCACTTTCCGCTCAATTATTATTCAACTTCGTTAATTTAAGAATAAGTGCACAAGTCAAAAGATTTAGTGTTAAATAATTTCAAAGTGTTTGAAACGGTATAAATTTTCATTCGCCACCAAAATTGATTCATTGATGCCGAAAGGCGTTGTATGAATCCCATCGATTCGTATTGGCGAAAATTGATAGTTCCAGTAGGGAAGAGCTCCAAATCGCCTTTCTCCTAATTGATCAGAGAAGAGGTCCGTTGCGCCAGCAGCTCTCGCTACGTCACTGCGGGGCCCCGTGACACACATCAATGGGCCCAAATGTAACGGTATCATCCGCAGTGACCTACTCTCTGGACGCCTCGCTCTTTCTTCACCGTTCTTTCCTCGTCTGCTTTCTTGCTCTCTCTTGGTTCTCGGTCAAGCGAACGTCGAACGCGAGCTCACCAAAGACTTCCCCGGGATGGCTGTACTTTTACCAGGCGAATCCTTGGCGTCGCGTGCGACACCGGCTGATTAAAGCCAGTAATGAAAGCGTCCTCCTCGTGCGCGGAGGTGCTGTCATGTAGCCGCGAACGTACGTCTGTCGTCGTCCTTTTGTATGCTGGCAATCCGCCCGTCAGTGAAAACGAGTGTCCGGTGTACCACAGTGATCGACAACCTGTTGGGCCATCGGTCCTAAAGTACATCGCAATTAACGTCGAACGCGAGTTATGAATGTAATAGTGCATCTCGTCATCCAGGTGAGTCTCCGTTCGACTTGTGGACTGTTTACACTTACGGTCACTGAAAATTGATCGGCGGTCTTCGTAATTCTATATGAACGTGACAGTTTTATCATTCTTGGTCAGATGTTTATAAGAGTTGTAAAATATGACTGTTTGCTTTTATGCAAGAGATTTGACTAAATTTATGAAAAAGTGAAGGGTACAAAATGTGGAGGTCACTGAAAATTATTCTTCCTCCCTCTTGTTCTTCTACTGGCTTCCTCCCTCTAATTTTCGATAAAAATTGAACTGCATGAATGTGACAATTTTATTATTTATAATAAGATATTCATAAAACTTGTAATTTACTGTAAAATATCACTGTTTGTTTTTATATAAAGAACGTAGAGATTTGGTCAATATTCACGAAAAAATGAAGGATACCAAATGTGGAGGTCCCTGAAAATGGTCCACTATCTTCCTCTTCCTAATTTTTGTTGAAATTTGAATTGCATGGACGTGACAGTTTTGTTGTTCATAGCAAAATTTTCATTAAATTTGTAATTAATAGTAAAATATCATTGGTCGCTTTTATGTAAAAAAAAGAAAACAAAAATTTGTCCACAATGTGTCGACATAGGTCAAAATGAATAATTGTACGAAATATGACAGTCATTGGAAATTGTTTATGATTCATTTTGTTAAAAATATTGAACACATTCCTCTGCTTTGTTCCTTATATAGAACAAATTCTCTGTTTTTTGTTTTACAGGCAATAACTTGTTTTATAATACTGATTCATATTTTATTGTAAATTGCAAAAAGGTCATTCCCATGCAATTAAACTTTTCGCTAAAAATAAAACGTCCAAAGCAATATATAATTTTCAGTAATCACCACTGTATTCAACAAATACTATTGTCCATCGATATAATAAAGGTTGGCTAAAATGCTGGATGTGGACTGAATTGGTGATGGATACATATCGAATACAAACATTTCGATAATTATATACTACAAGAGAGTCCCTCGACCATACGGACGTGTTCTGAGTAACTTTTTTTTAGTAACATAACTGTTGATCTCAGAGGATTGTTGAAATACTCGTGAAAAGAATTTATTCGAATAAACGTAACCCAAACCAATATCGAATCCCACATGCAAAGCAAACTAGTAAATGGGATAAAAATTGTGGGAAAAAATGATGGTTCTAAATTTGTTCCTTCACTTTAACCTCAGGAAACAAAGTGTTACGTCTAAGAATATTCCAAATGACTTTAATTTTTGATATTCCGAATTAGCAATGTAATATCGAATCCAAAAATTCCATGGTATACTTCTTGAAACACTTCCACAATTGATACATATCTACAGAATTATGAATATTAATTGATATGAATATATTAACATACGAATGATTACACGACTTACTCCAAAGGTTTGACATATTTCAATTATAACAATTGAAAATATTTATAATATTAATTGCAATAATTAAATATTTGCCAGAAAGTGTTTACACATTGATATTTGACTTTTCCAAGAACAGAGTGGAAGATGTGAAAATTACAGTTCATTCACGAACGTCATTAATCAACTCATTACAAATTAAAATTACAAATTAAAAGAAATATCTTACGAAGTAAAGTTACAATTAAAACGTTACAAATTAGATAGCATTAGTAGGTTTTTATTATAAAGTATAAAAATAATTCAATAAAGTATAAATTTCAAATATGCACTTCCTCTGTGGTTTAAAACTTTTCATGATATTCTGCGCAATTATGTAATTATTTTTTCCTTGTACAGGTGATCACATATCAGCTCGTACAATGTCAAGGAGGTGGTGGACCCAGTACATTCGGATATGACGCATCTTCAGCTTGCAGCAAACCATATTCGCGTGCAGGACGCGCACGACTCGCAAATCTGCCTTGCGATTTTCGACGTCAAAATTGGTGCACGATTGCCGGAAACTCTTATCCTTGGTAAACGAAAGGAAACTAATTCCTCATTAAATAATACTATTATACTTCGGTTATCAATTACATACTAAACACATTGTGGTGTGACAATTAGCTAAATCACAGAAAATCACTCGCTGAATTTTTACAAGAGAAAGTGTTGACAATAATTAAAATTAGAAAGAGTACAATTTATAAACTGTCTTATATTACCTCTACTATATTTACTGCGTCGAATTGTATCGGTAACAATTGCATTATTACACTTTGATATGTTTAACATTGCGTACCAGAACTATCAAAAATACCTCTTCACTTCTAGAATAAAAACTTCTTTTTCATTTCATAAAATTTGTTGAACTGCCTTTTGTGAAATCTGTGTTGATTTTTAACAGAAGAAAGAATTGTTGTTTCATAGTTTATTCATTTGTTTTTTTTATTTTGAGTTTGAAATTATGAATGCGTTATGTTCTTACAATTTACCATTTATCATTTTATCAATTTATCATTTATTTATTTGCTTTTCTGTTTTTAATTTTAAATTATGTATACAATATGCCGGTACATTTAGTGTTAATATTAGAACATGAATACACGATAATATTTTCAATCACAAGAATATCATATTGCATCAAATGAATATCATGTTATATTAAAATATAACTATTATTAATTGAAATTTCGTTAAGTGCATAACGTTGAGAAAGAGCCCTATTTATTCAAACAATGGTTTTGTACAATCCAGCGGTTCACTTCTCAAATTATATTTAATTATTTTATAATCATAATTACTCACCTTTTACGAGAAAATTCGTCACACAACATTTGCACATTTTATCGTTATGAAAAATTGTATCACCCAATAGGCTTCGATCATTTCACCGTCCTTTGAAAAAGTATGTCATATTTGCCGACAGTACAAAGCTAATCGACAAAACATTCAAGGAAGCAGCGTAGAAGTTTCACTGTTCAATCAGTGATGCTATGAATTTTAAGTAAGAAACAGAATGTGTTCAATTATTAAAATCGTGCGTGACAGAACTGTAAAGGTATCAGGAAACGACTTTTACTTTCGGTGGTACGCATGAAACGCACTCCAAATAATATGCTAATGATACATTTTACGGAAATATATTCAAAGTTTTATGTTTCGAAGATTCTAATATTTCTTTTACTCGCAGTTACTTCTATTTGGAGAATTTGCGAGATTTACAATTGTGTAATTAGAAGAATTTGTGATTTACATTTACGTGACTAGAAGAATGATGATTTACTAGAAGAATGTAATTTACTCTTATGTGATTAAAAGAATTTGAGCTATTTACATTTACGTGATTAGAAGAATTTACAAGATTTACTCTCATGTAATTAAAAGAATTTATGTGACGTACATTTACCTAATTTAAAGAATGCTAGCTTCTTCCACTTAAATCAGTGTAATTAATTTTGTATTTTATGTCGATATAAACATATAGTTCGATGAAAGAAACTAATCGAAATTTATACCATGGTAATTATTTAATTTCAGGCATGCAGTTCGTCGTTTCGTACAAGAAAATCAAGGTTTAATGAGACGCATGTATGGAGATGAAAGGCACATCAACGTATTAAAAGCAGAACTCGAGAAGAACGATATCGAATTAAAATACGATGAATATTATCACCATTTCTCGGATGAACACAGGTAAACTTTGCAATTATAATATACATTCACTCTGAAAGTCAAGATTATCAATATTAACAGGAATTATATTGAAGATTAATTTCAAATATATATTAAACGATATTAAATATTGTGCAAGTATTAGAAAACGATATTTAGTTCTAATAAGTTTTAGTTTTGAACACAGAAGTAGAAAGAGTGAATGTAGAACGAAAAGCAAAATAATACTTTATTTGTGTCATATTATTAGTAGATGTGATTAGAATAACAAAAAAGTTACATGTCCACATTTGTGTCAAGAAGGTGGATTCTTACGTAACAAATATCGCGTGCAGTCTTTCCAGTCCTACAACATAAAATTTTATACACAAGTTTATTTCAAAAACAAGACAAGCCTATTATCTGTTACTCTGAAATATTTCTGGGTTCACATTTCAATTAATTTAAAAATATGGAGTATTAATAGACAAACTTTGTGTATTATGTGACGTTGGATAATGCATGTTTATGCAATAATGTTTAAATCTAGCTAAAAGAAATGAATTATTATACCCACATGGATTTATCTGACTTTCAAAATAAACTTCCAAAAACACCCTGCAATTCAATCTTGCTCTGTTTAGAAAATACCAGTATATGCACGATTACGAGTACTTCGAAAGCGACAGCGACTACGAAGGCCGAGGCTTCACAAGCAGATCCTTCAACGAAAATTCTGCAAAACGACTAAACAAGTTTCCAAAATTAAGCGAATACACTAGACCACATTTTCGACCGACCGAAAAATCAACCACATCAACAGCGGCGACACCTGCGCCCATCACCTCTTCCACAACGGAAACGTCTTCTACTTCGATCACACCACCTTCAACGACGGTTTCAACAAATACCACGATCGAAAACACGAGGGAAAATACGACCGAAGAGGCATTAGCCTTAACGGTGACAACGTCCCACATGATGAAGGAACAGAATTTCAGCATCAATGAGATACCGGAACAGATAGACAGGATCGACGAGGAACTCGAAGAAAATGACGAGGTTGCAGAAGTGTCAGAGACCAGTCTCGATGAAACTACAGCGAGTTTACCGGGTACCACCGAAGTACCGGTTGATTCTGATAATAGCGAAGACCTGTATGCCACCCCAAAAGAAACAACCGTGCAGGAAGAAATTTCTGGCTCGAATGAGCAACAAGAATTTAGACCACGACCGGAATATCGACCCGCCGGTAAACCGGAAAGTTCGAACATGGAGGGACAACTGTATCAAGATGTGGCCGCGAAGGATCAGCAAGAACAACCAGTTCTCAAGCTTAGAGGAGTGTAAGTTTCGATTGTTTCGTTCTGTTTAATTGTTATTTGGGAAAGTTTAAAGGTTGTAGTATAACTGTAATTATAATACTGTATAACAATAATTTTGTATTCGAAAAATGACAGGTTAGATTTAATGCTACAATTTAAAGTATTTTTTAACTAAATATAAAATGCAATAATTAGAAATAAGTATTTTTTAACTAACTCTGAAAAGCAATCATTTGAAGCAAATAGTTTTTAACTAAATTTATAATGTTATACTAAAGTGTATAGATGTGACATGTTTCATTTGCGTTTGAATCAGAGAAATGAATATTTTGTACGTTCAAAACGTTCTTTTTCAATTGTTTGTTTAGTAAATCATGTTTGATAATATATTTAAATAAAATCTAGCAACTGTTGATTAATCATATGGGCGCAGTCAATGGCATTTGATGAAATGAATTATTTTCTTGTGTATAAAAGTAATATTTCTTTTTTAGGAACGCGTGTCCTGTGAAGGAAGAAGTGGTAGCACCATTTTGGGCAAATAATACAAGAGGCGAAGTACTAGCTCTTTTGAACCTTTATCCCTTTGAACAGTACGTTCACTGGGAAAAATGCACGTGAGTATAAGAAATAGGTCTAATAATTACTTTTAGAAAAATTAGATTGCACTGTTCATATTAGAAGAGCTTCTTTGCTAAAATATTAGAGATACACAAAATTATTTATATTAAACCTACATGATATATAAAATTTATTATTTGTGAAAACAAATTCATATAATTTAATAATTAATAATTCATATTATTTAGTCTGAGCATATGCATGAGCTTTCATTGTGAAATTATATTAAAAATGAGGGATTTCCTTTTTTTCCAACCGCCATTTTATTTGCCCAAATAAAATTGACCAGCATTTCATTCGTCTAAATAAAATTGACTGCCATTTTATTTGTCCAAAGACACGAAAACAAACAGATGTACTGCCGTGATGGATGCAGATGCGAGCAACAGTACAGACTTCACAGATTATTGGCCTACGACCCGAATAACGAGTGTCGTGGCATCTTCAGCGATTGGTTCAAGTTTCCAAGTTGCTGTGTTTGCCGTTGTTATGATTTGCCCTTGGAATTTCGTGTAACGTCGCGCTCTCCTCGCAGCCAGAAACAACGAATCAAAGTGAAATCGCCTCGAACCCGATACACGTAAGGTTCCAATCTTAAACCAGATATTTTATAAAATTTGTATCGCAACGTTATCGTGTGATACTGGGAGTTTTAAAAAACACGAACATAATAAATCTAGTATAATCCGAGTTCTATCAAAACAGTCTTGTATATAATATTTTATAACGTGCATATGATAATAAATAATGTTCTATTTTAAATTACATTTCTATTGAAATGTCGATAGAAATTTTTCGAATATGATTGAAGTTGCCATGACAGTTTAGATTTTCGGTTAAAAATAGTACAAGTTTTTAATGTAACAGCATAGTCTCCTATAAATAGTTTGATATAAATAAAGTTTGACCCTTTGCGGTCGTATTAAACTTGGTCATGGGTGTCGTACTGGTTGGAATTAATTTCCCTTGAAAGAGCAGTGATACATAACATGTAAGATTATGAAGGATAAACAAGATTTATTAATTTTTTTGCGAATTTTCCATCAATATAATCGATAAAATTGCTCACTTTTGGATTCTCGTCGTTACATTTGCATTTCTGGAAACATTTTCATTCAATTGTAACATCCAAAATATTTGAAGAAATCTTTCCTTTCGAAATATATTTCTAAAAAATGGTATGTTTCCAACATGCTCCTTAGTCCAATAATATTTCATATTAGGATCTGGTATAGTACCTATGTTAAAGATCACACCCAAAAAAGCTGTTAACTCTTCTTTCGTCACATCGATCCAGTTATTCCATGTTGATCGATCAGATAAGCTCTGCTGTCCTATTTTATTTTTGGCATATTTATTTGTTTCTAGTACAATTGTTTCAAGTAGTGTATCTGTGAAAAAGAGTTTGAAAAAGTCGATAGGTTCGGTGCAATGAACAGGTGCATTAGGTCCAACAATCTTAGATCCTGTCGAAAAATTGGTTTTTGATTTCGGTTGAATAAAGTATAAGATTAGTATGGTTCCTTGCTGTGGTAGCTGAGAGCAGACATACGACCGCAAAGGGTTAAGTCAAATCTTGTTTCGTTGGAAGAAAAGTTAAGAAAAATGAATATAGTTGATTCAACCTGGATTTTCGAGATCTTCGCAAATAATTTAAAAATGAGGACTATTGTAAACTGATTAATACATAGACATTAAAGAGAATTATAGTAAAGATCTAATGGCTCCAGCCTAGTCAACAATGTTAGTCCTTACCATTATTCATAAAGGGAGATACATTTTTTATATGTAACCTATTTGCCATAGCCATTTCGATTATTTGTACATATGTATGATCATTAACAAACATTCTGAAATTAATGCAAAAATAAGATACACTTATAAATCAAACACCAATTTGTTCTAATATTTGTATATAATTTTGTACATGTTAAGAGATATATTATAGTCACAGCGTTTTAATCAACTTATTAATTTTATAATAATTAGTTGCGGATGAATGAATAAAATGTATGAAGCTTTCCATAGTTATATTCTTGCATCTCTGAAATTAATCAAAGTTTGAAGTATAAAAATATTCAAATTGACAATTAATCGTCAAATGTTTTCGAACAAAAAAATATTGTGTAATATTTATTCTACTTGAGAAAATAAATATTTATTTTATTTATTGAAATGAGTACTTTAGCAATAATTATTGAGTTTAATTGATTTGTAACTACTGATGAAGGAAGCAATATTTTGTATTTGTATTTTTGCTGAAAAATATTGTGATTTCTCGAGGTTTCACTAACAACAGTTAGTAACTTGTTATTTAACATACCGAATCGTATTTCATAGTGTATCGAAACGAAGAATTACATAACGATTAAACATAACATAGATGGAAATTAAAGTAAGAAATAATTTAATTAATAAAATACTTCACATACGTTAACACTGAAATGTTATATTTTAATATAGGTAATTGTGTATCAAATGTTTGTTACATTTATTTAAGGCATTTGTTAATCATACATGGATAAGGCTCGTGAATAAAATCGTATAAGCCATGTTTTTGTTATATTTATCGTTAAATAATTTCTTTCTAATGGAACTTATGTAATCACCGACTACTTACATTTAATAAACATCGGTAAAGAAACAGTTTTTGTTGTTGACATACTAACTTAGATGATATTTTCTAACATTTGCAAAAATACAATTATTTATAGGAATATATTTTTATATTATCATTCACACATTTTGTACCAAAAAGTTGATGTCGAAATATAACCCATTTCTCGATTTTGTAATTAATTTTGTATTGAATACATATTTGTATTTCTGTGACCGCATATGTAATGACATGAATATACAATAAAAATAAACTTTTGTATTATAAATGCAAATCTTTAATTCAACTAAAGATCGTAATATTAATATTTTGTGTAGACCAGAAACCTTTACCTCTAATTACCTGTAAATTCTTAAAAAAAATTTATGATTGAATTAAATTTTGAAATATAATTAAACTTGTAATTGTACAAGTTCCTAAACTAATCAAAGGCATTAAATTTTTAATGCCTTTCGAAAAACATTTTTCTGCCCCAAATGCACTGTATAATATAGAAATTTTTCATGAATAATATTTTTCAATAACTAGTTTTCTAATCCTTGTTTTCTTTACCTACTAATAAATTGTTCGTTTGCTAGATAATTACGTAGATAGATTTCAGTGTTATTTGTAGTAACAATTTGAAAGTTCTTAGTTTAGAAATTCGAGGATTTGGAAACTTTTTTATACAGAAATTAGAGATTTGAGAATTTAGAAATTTTGGAATTGAAAAACGTACAAATTCAGACTCATGACAATTTTGAGAAAGGAGAATTTGGACTTTTAGAAATTTAGAAATTAGAGAATTTGGAAATTTTTAAATTACATTTTCAAGTATAATTAAACTTATAATCGTACAAGTTCCTAAACTAATTAACACCAGGCCTACGAGGCTGGTGTTAATTTTGACGCATTTCGAATTTGATCTATATGGGATCATGTCTGGGCATAATCTCAAGGAGTCCCGTCAGTTATACACCGTTTTTCCGAGTAGTCACGTTACTAGTCGTTCTTCTTTTTTCTTTTCGACGTTTTCCAACCCTGTAGGATGCAATCCAGGGTTTCACGTAGTTTGACTGACAGGGAGACTGAGAATCTCTTCATATAATAATTTTGAAGGATGTTACTCTTTTAATTGGCAGGCAAATAATTAACACTAGGTTTACAGGTTTCATTTTGCATTTCGTATTTTTTTAGGAAAATTACAAAAACCGTTCGCATTTTTATTTTATCTCTTGTACTCACTTTTATCCACTAAACGAGGTAAATATATATTGAAGTCCATTTTCTTCAAAAGCTTTGAAATATTGAAATTTGCTACGTGGTATACCTATCTCTGCGGATGTGCGTCAATTTGACGCGATCGTAATGTAAATAAAATTTTTAGTAAATTAGTTTTACCCATGCAAAAATTACAACAATAATAAATATGAATGCACCGACAATACCTTATAAACGACGGACTTCGCTAGTCCGGAGTCGCAAGCGGCCGGCTCAGTCGGTATGCCGGGTTCGGACCCGGCGTCGCATTACAAATCGCAGTTCGCAGGATAGAGGGAAGTAAAAATATGAATGTAGAATATTGAAGTAATGTACTAAAATATTATTGAATAATAAAAACTTTCTATAAATATATCTCATATTTTCATTTCTTACTTGTAGTGTTTAATTATATTGCTTCTTAAGTGGTTTTCCTTTAAATATATGTATTTGTTCATGCGTCAAATTGACGCGTGTTTGTAGAGATAGGTGTATAAGAAATGTCCGAAAACCTAGTGTTAAACTCTCAAGTAGGATCTGTCTTTAATGAATTTTAAATAAGTATATGTAAACGTGCAATTTATCAAATAATTGCAGTCATATAAATAAACGTTTCGAAAGGATTAATAAATATACGAACATGATAACAATATTCATTTGAATGATTATTTACGCATTCACTGATGAAACTTTTACACAAGAAGCATGTTATTGGGAAACATCGATTGATAAACGACACTTATAGGATTTATACAAGTATATACATATTGCTTTAGTCATTTAATATAGTCGGCGACAGAAATGGACGTCTTGGTTACAACCTTCGTGATCGAGATTAAAATACAAGGGACATTTCGTTTGAAACAATATCTTTCGAATTCAATGTCTCATTTTATCTATGAAATGTTCATTTTGCTCTTTATATTATGTGTTTCAAAAACAATTCGGGTAAGTACAATCTATTGAAAATAAACGATATGAAAAAATTATGCTCAAAACAGGTTTCATGGATTGTGTTTTATAAAATGTAGAAACGAGTTGAACTTTATTGCATTATTGTAACAGATTTTATTGAGAAATTTTAATATTTGAAGATTCTGAAAAATTTATGTTATGAGAAATTATTGAAGTTACTTGAAAAACAAGAAGTTCTAAAATTTGATAAATTTGGAACTTTAAAAATTTAGTTATTTAAGGATTTGGGAGTTTAAGAATTCGAATACTTGGGAATTTATAAATTTGGAAATTTGGCCATCTTGGAACTGGAAAATTTAGGAATTTGACAATTTGGAAATTTGAGAGTCTGAAAATTTAGGAAATTTCATAATTAGAAAATTTGAAAATTTAGAAATCTGAAAATTTGGAAGTTTGACAATTTTGGAACTTAAAGGTTTAGGAATTTGCAAATTTGAAAATTTTAGACTTTGTAATATTGGAATTTGGAAATTTGAAAATTTTGAAAGTTGGAAATATAGGAATACAAGATTTTAGAAATTTAGAACTTGAAAATTTACGAATTTAAGATGTTGGAAACATAAATTAAAAAATGTTGGAATTCGAGAATTTAGAGGTTTATAAATTTGGACATTTGAAAATAACAAAATTTGTAAATTTGAAAATCTGAGAATTTGGTAATTTGAAAACATGTAACTTTGAAAATGAACAAAATTTGCAAAGATCAATGAATAACACAAGTAATTAGACTCCATATTAATAAATTCATAACACAAATATATAATAAACATTTTCTACAATTTTCATCGAAATCGAATAAACGACATAAAGATAATATCTACGTTTATTTTAAACAGACTGTATTACAAAAAGCCAGGAGAATATGTTTTTGCCTGCACACAACAAGGTGGACTTGAGAAAATAAGAAAACAACGTATTCTGCGAATAAACAGTAGAGTTTATTGCTGATTACGTACGATTGAAACTATAAATAATAAATAATCTAAGGAATAATAACTTAACATCCCGTAGGGAATTTCTTATTCGAACGATTTCTCGATATTCATCTCTGGAAGCATATGAAAAAACCGTGTCACCAAACGAAATTAAAAATAATGTTTTTTTTAAGATTCACTTAAAATAATACGAAACCTTCTCTTTTTATACAATACATAATACATTACGCGCAAGTATCATATGTACAATTACATTTATAAAACGCAATATTATATTGTTACAACGCTATGAAACGATATTGTGCTCGATATCGTAGAAATAACATTATATTAATACAAAAATTATTTAACAAAAATTACTTACAATCGAGCTTCGTTTCTCGACTAAAAGGATCCTTTAGCGAATGATTACTTTCACAAAACGATTTTTCCATCACGATACAGAGCTTTGTATTTATCATCCTTTTATATTTTAGAAGATATTAAAATACTTGCTATTTTTTTTCTGTTATATGGTCGTTTAGTATACATTCTTTGATCATATTTAATTTAATTTGAATATAAAAATGGAGGAACAATATAAAATAGGAGGAGAATATTTTTTAAGGGATTGAAGTTTAAAAATTTTTTTATTTGAGGATTTGGAAATTTGGAAATTAAAGAATTTGGGAATTTAGGGATTTAAACTTTGGGGTTTGGAGATTTTAGGATTTGCAAATTTGAGAATTTAAAAATTTGGAACATCGTAATTTAGAAATTTGGGAATTCGGAAATATTTTAACTTGTAAATTTGGGGACTTGGACACAGAGAATTTGAAGTTTCAAAATTTGAAAGTTTTTAGTTTAGAAATTCAAGAATTTGGAAATTTTTTAATACAGAAGTTTAAGGATTTGGAAAGAGAAAATTTGTGAATTTAACAATTCGGAAATTTTTACTTTAAAAATTCAAGAATTTGGAAATTTTTAATGTAGAAATTTGGGGATTTGGAAAGAGAAAATTTGTGAATTTAACAGTTTGGAAGTTTTAAGTTTAGAACTTCAAGAATTTTGGAAATTTTGAATGTAGAAATTTGGGGATTTGGAAATTGGAAATTTAAGAATATAAAATTTCAAAATTTAAGGAATTAAATATTTGGAAAATAAAAAATTAAAAGTTTGATCTCACTGAAATATGCAAATTTAAAAATTGTATGATTTGGAAATTTGAAAATTTGGAGATTTGGCAATTTAAGAATTTAGAAGCATGGGATTCAAAAATCTAGAAAATCTAACTAATGGAAATTTGAATATTTGAAATTCAAATTTTAGAAATTAGGGAATTTAGAAATTTGAGGATTTGGAAAGTGGAAGTCAGAATTTGGAGACTTGATAAT